ACATCCTCGGGTATCTGATCAATGTTACATCAGACGGCAACGGTAGCCAAGTTATAAATGTAACGTGTGGACATCTTGAGGTAGGTGAGAGTACAATCATATGACACGTTTCTTAAGAAGTGAACAAAAGTGTAAAGACCTGTATACTGTATAAACATAATTACGATTCGCTCTGTGAATATATATATATATATGTTTTCACTTTATAGAGGAAGTTTACTATCTTATATGTAAGAAAAGCTTTTGCGTGCTTCAATATGGATATATGTGTTATTTAAAGTCACAGGAGAAGCACAGCTGTAAAACGAGTGGTGCTGTTGTCAACCATGATGGAAATGGGCAATACGACTACAATATTACAGCCTTGCAGTCCTACACCGACTATACAATAGTTATATCTAGTTTCAATATAAACGGAACAGGGGAGGAAAAGAACACCACTGTTCAAACGAGCATGTCTGGTACGTGTGATGATGTTAATGTTATTCAAACAAGGCTCTGAATTAGACAGATTCTGATTGGTCAAATGGGGTGTCTAGTTCCAGAGAACTGGAACTAGTGTACGTGTGTTTTTACAGTAAGATACTGCCGCATTGTATAGAAATCACGGAGGTGGAAGGAGCAAAATGTCCAAACTTAGTAGGCGTAGTATGAGATGCACAAGAGGTACGCTTACCTGATTGTATTATATTTCGTGATACCTTCAGATGAAAAAGCTGATCGCTGGTTCATCATAATTCGAAAATCACCAGAAACGTTAAGACACATTAGTTCGAACAATCAGTGGAAATATCAAAGAGACCATGGAGTATGTTTAAAATGTAATGCCTGTATCATAACCACCTGAAAAGTCTGTGTCTCAGAATCTCTTACGTTTTATAATTCCTACTCTGCTTGAAATGATAAATGGCGGTATTCATGAAACTCTAGGGTAGTTGCGACCAAGCAGTCTAAAATATACTGCTCATGCAAATGTCTGGTTGATCACGTCTTTCATCACTTATTCATCATCCTCCTAGTGTTGGGAATTGTTTGAAATCTCATAATAGATGATTGGTTCATTACAACGGGTCAAGCATCGAAAATAATTGGATAGCGTCCTTTATCAAATGTTCCTGGTTATGTTTGTTATTGAACCAAAAATAAAGACAAACAAAAACATTGCCATTCTTTTGGGTTTATTATTTTGCAAATTGCACAACATGCATTTGCAAAGTTCACATACATAAAGGATGACAAGTATATTAGGAACATAAATTTCCTGGAGTCAGTATAAGATGAATTCAGTCATGACTTGGAACGTGTTTGTAGTGCCCATGAAACCGACAAAACCAACCTGGTGAAATTTTTTGTAAATGCAAGTGTTCCACAACTTCCAAAATTGTTTGTCACGTTGTATTCGATTATGAGAAGACGTGATCGATTGGTCGGTGGTATAGTCATTGCGACCCATCTTCGATTAGTGCCCATGAAACCGACAAAACCAACCTGGTGAAAAAAAATTGTAAATGCAAGTGTTCCACAACTTCCAAAATTGTTTGTCACGTTGTATTCGATTATGAGAAGACGTGATCGATTGTCTAAAATATACTGCTCATGCAAATGTCTGGTTGATCACGTCTTTCATCACTTATTCATCATCCTCCTAGTGTTGGGAATTGTTTGAAATCTCATAATAGATGATTGGTTCATTACAACGGGTCAAGCATCGAAAATAATTGGATAGCGTCCTTTATCAAATTTTCCTGGTTATGTTTGTTATTGCACCAAAAATAAAGACAAACAAAAACATTGCCATTCTTTTGGGTTTATTATTTTGCAAATTGCACAACATGCATTTGCAAAGTTCACATACATAAAGGATGACAAGTATATTAGGAACATAAATTTCCTGGAGTCAGTATAAGATGAATTCAGTCATGACTTGGAACGTGTTTGTAGTGCCCATGAAACCGACAAAACCAACCTGGTGAAAAAAATTTGTAAATGCAAGTGTTCCACAACTTCCAAAATTGTTTGTCACGTTGTATTCGATTATGAGAAGACGTGATCGATTGGTCGGTGGTATAGTCATTGCGACCCATCTTCGATTAGTGCCCATGAAACCGACAAAACCAACCTGGTGAAAAAAAATTGTAAATGCAAGTGTTCCACAACTTCCAAAATTGTTTGTCACGTTGTATTCGATTATGAGAAGACGTGATCGATTGTCTAAAATATACTGCTCATGCAAATGTCTGGTTGATCACGTCTTTCATCACTTATTCATCATCCTCCTAGTGTTGGGAATTGTTTGAAATCTCATAATAGATGATTGGTTCATTACAACGGGTCAAGCATCGAAAATAATTGGATAGCGTCCTTTATCAAATGTTCCTGGTTATGTTTGTTATTGAACCAAAAATAAAGACAAACAAAAACATTGCCATTCTTTTGGGTTTATTATTTTGCAAATTGCACAACATGCATTTGCAAAGTTCACATACATAAAGGATGACAAGTATATTAGGAACATAAATTTCCTGGAGTCAGTATAAGATGAATTCAGTCATGACTTGGAACGTGTTTGTAGTGCCCATGAAACCGACAAAACCAACCTGGTGAAAAAAATTTGTAAATGCAAGTGTTTCACAACTTCCAAAATTGTTTGTCACGTTGTATTCGATTATGAGAAGACGTGATCGATTGGTCGGTCGTATAGTCATTGCGACCCATCTTCGATTAGTGCCCATGAAACCGACAAAACCAACCTGGTGAAAAAAAATTGTAAATGCAAGTGTTCCACAACTTCCAAAATTGTTTGTCACGTTGTATTCGATTATGAGAAGACGTGATCGATTGGTCGGTCGTATAGTCATTGCGACCCATCTTCGATTATTTCAATGAATCGGGCCACCACACCATGTTCGCAGAATCAGTTGGAATGTCTAGACACATTGCGCTTTCATCAAGAATGAATCAGTAGAAATATCAACCTGACCACTGTGATTGATTTTAGCGCCAACGACTGTATTTTGTCCAAGCTTACCGAGCTTGATAGTGTCAATATTATGTTTCTGTAGTTCCGTCACCGCCAAAAGAGTTCTGTGCCTCAGTCAACAGTTCGTCCAGTGTGACCCTGTTCTGGACCCACGCTGACCACCAGGACGGACCGACCACCTACTATATTACAGTTGGGGAAGCAGCCAACTTAACCTCAGACATCTTCCAAGAGAAAATGGTTGTCAGTGTCAGCGGTATGTCTTGGAGTTTTAATGAGGACGTATTGGGAAAAAACAAATTTACACCGTTTCTTCAATTACCATTACTACATTAACTAACATTTCTACATTGATAACAGGCGACTGCACTTGTAAATTTGTCGTTGATACTAGATTGAGTGACTGAGTGAGTGGGTGAGTTTTAGTTTTAGTTTTATTCCAGCAATATCACTGCGAGGAACACGGTAAATTAGATTCACACGCTGCACCATGTGGGGAAACGAACCGGGATCTTAGGCGTGACGAGCGAACGCTTTAACCACTTTGCTACCTCACCGCCCCTGATACCGAAATGAAAGAGTAGAGTTAAGTGAAACAGGCATGGCACGTTCATGGAAAAGCCAAGCATAGGTGATGTGTAGTCGATAGCTGACGATAAGCATTTGCAGCAGGGCCAAGATACTGACAGATTATGGTTCATTATCAATTACGCAAGCAAATCAACTACGAGGGTATCCCGGCAGCTGCACGTCTGTCCCGAGATTATCTTGATAATGTGGATTATCTTTAATGCTGTTATGTTGCTGTCCATTTACAAGTGGCACCGGATTCCAAATTGTGTTACCTATCGATTCCTGTAACCATATATTTTGATCAGAGACGAGACATTGGTCCTCATGCCAGTATATTTTGACAAACAAGTTGTGTAAATATTCTTCATTTTCTTCCTTAACATTTCTAATGGAGCAGCTTGTAGCCATAATGTAAAGCTAGCATGCATCACAATTAATACTTACTGCTATAGATAATTCATGTTTCCATAATGTCGATGAAACTACAACACATCTGACTTCGTTATATTCAGGGTTCTATAGCAAATCCGTTCTGGTTGAGAGTCTCCAGAGTTACTGGAATTACACCTTCAACATCACAGCAGCTACTCCAGTTGGAAACTCAAGTGTCTTGTCTGTGAATGAAACTGTCCGGACTAAAGAGTCAGGTATGAAGTAAACAGCGAACAAAGGTGTATTCCTTTTGTTCATTACCAATACTATTACCTATCAGCACCTAATAATAACATCTGACCTCAATTGGCCATCGCTATTACAAATCAGTATGAATCAATTACTGCCTTCACTTATTAAGTGTCTAGTGAGTGAGTGAGTTTAGGATTACGCCGCACTCAGCATTATTGCAGGTTTTTGACATCAGTATGTAAATAATCGATGTGTCAACCAAGTCAGCGAGCCTCTAACAACAAGCATGGGTCACTGAAGACCAATTCTAACCCTGATCTTGAAGTTTATTTTGTGTCTAAGCTTGTTACCTTATTAATGTCGTTGTCCTTATATGTACAGAGATGTCTATATCTTAGCATTATTAACCTGATGAAGGAATAACAATGTACTCCGAGTCAACGTGCATCTTATAACAGATGAGCTGGTGAGTTTCACTAAAATGATAAACATCTACGGCGCGTGCCCCTTCGGTAGGGCTTCCCTAATCAAGCTAAAAAGTAACAACCATATCTTGCAGTTCCTAATATACACCGCTTGCTAGTATAGAAACCTATTTAAAATACTATTGGACACCACTTTTGTAATTTATAACCTTAAACGCACCGGTCCATCTTAAGTATATTTTCAGCACACACCGATGGTAATTCATTAACACTTAGCTTTGATATAATCGTACATTTGTAATAGTAAAATCGAAACCGTTACTTTTTTATGTTACTAATAAAGAGTATGTTTCAATTATAGCTCCTGGAAAGGTTGAAAATCTTCGCATCAAGCCGATTCCAGGCAATTTTACGAGTGTGGAAGTCTTGTTCTCTTGTCCCAAGGAAACAGACAGACATGGCGACATAAAATATTACACACTGTCGTATGAAGCTGAGGTATATGTTATGGCTGCTCAGATATAATTCTTTTTCTAAAAATCAAGGTGCAAAGGAACATTTCATATTAATTTGATATGAAAAAGAATACGAATGATGTATACGTTCTTTCAGCTTGAGCATGTATGTTCATATAAATATAAACATCTTGGGAAAGATTTATGAATGAAATAGATATTCACTTCATATGTATTGTGAAATATATTTCCTTGTTTTACATTGACAGGTAGACAATGACAACAATGTGACAGAAAGTCCCAAAGGATTGAACATTTCAGCTGAACCTGAGTCGAACTGTAACTACTCACAGGTTGTATCCGTGACACCACAAACAAACTACACTTTTTCGGTGAGTTGGGAATGTCCTCCAGTTACTCTTTAAAGCTATAAACCCAAGTGAGTCGCTACATATCTGACGTGATTATTTGACTGAACTAGCTGCTTTCATGAATCGTAGTCCACACAACAGTACCTAAGTGATTTCGGTGAGTGAGAGCCAACTGTTCACATAAGATGTGCCAACGAGTACTATTTTTATATCCACTGAAGACTCATTTTTGCACATTCTTATGTGAAATCAATAATCGATGTAAACTTTGATGTGTTTACGCTCACATAAAATGTAGATTGCTCAAGCAAACATATTCACTGATCACAGTATATTGGGACACCACTAGTTGAACTGAAATGTACTTTTGGAACAACTGTACTTTATAATCCTATGCTTGCATCTGACATTTGATGAAACTAAAAAATTGTGCATCACAATACGGTAACTGTGTACATGTCGTTCCCCCTAACTTCCTCATCACAGGTTTAGAGATAAACTTGACGTGATTTGATTACAGGTACAAGCATTCAACACCCACGATGGAATCACTTCAACCACGAGTTATATCACACACACCGGAGGTACATCAAACTGTTCCTGACCTCAGACCTCGGTCTAAGCATTTATATCTAATGTGATCATTATTTTCTAAGTGACAAATCAACTGATGTTTAAATGTGCTCAACGTCATAAAACTTCTCAACATGATAATGAGGCATTTTGTTTATAGTCTTATCTGCACATGACATGAATATATCCGTTTCCATAGAGTCCGGTCCCGTGGCTAGTTTGGATGTATTGGATACAACAGCAGAATCCATCACAATACAATGGGCCAGACCATCACTTCCAAATGGCAACATCCTCGGGTATCTGATCAATGTTACATCAGACGGCAACGGTAGCCAAGTTATAAATGTAACGTGTGGACATCTTGAGGTAGGTGAGAGTACAATCATATGACACGTTTCTTAAGAAGTGAACAAAAGTGTAAAGACCTGTATACTGTATAAACATAATTACGATTCGCTCTGTGAATATATATATATATATATATATATATGTTTTCACTTTATAGAGGAAGTTTACTATCTTATATGTAAGAAAAGCTTTTGCGTGCTTCAATATGGATATATGTGTTATTTAAAGTCACAGAAGAAGCACAGCTGTAAAACGAGTGGTGCTGTTGTCAACCATGATGGAAATGGGCAATACGACTACAATATTACAGCCTTGCAGTCCTACACCGACTATACAATAGTTATATCTTGTTTCAATATAAACGGAACAGGGGAGGAAAAGAACACCACTGTTCAAACGAGCATGTCTGGTACGTGTGATGATGTTAATGTTATTCAAACAAGGCTCTGAATTAGACAGATTCTGATTGGTCAAATGGGGTGTCTAGTTCCAGAGAACTGGAACTAGTGTACGTGTGTTTTTACAGTAAGATACTGCCGCATTGTATAGAAATCACGGAGGTGGAAGGAGCAAAATGTCCAAACTTAGTAGGCATAGTATGAGATGCACAAGAGGTACGCTTACCTGATTGTATTATATTTCGTGATACCTTCAGATGAAAAAGCTGATCGCTGGTTCATCATAATTCGAAAAATCACCAGAAACGTTAAGACACATTAGTTCGAACAATCAGTGGAAATATCAAAGAGACCATGGAGTATGTTTAAAATGTAATGCCTGTATCATAACCACCTGAAAAGTCTGTGTCTCAGAATCTCTTACGTTGTATAATTCCTACTCTGCTTGAAATGATAAACGGCGGTATTCATGAAACTCTAGGGTAGTTGCGACCAAGCAGTCTAAAATATACTGCTCATGCAAATGTCTGGTTGATCACGTCTTTCATCACTTATTCATCATCCTCCTAGTGTTGGGAATTGTTTGAAATCTCATAATAGATGATTGGTTCATTACAACGGGTCAAGCATCGAAAATAATTGGATAGCGTCCTTTATCAAATGTTCCTGGTTATGTTTGTTATTGCACCAAAAATAAAGACAAACAAAAACATTGCCATTCTTTTGGGTTTATTATTTTGCAAATTGCACAACATGCATTTGCAAAGTTCACATACATGAAGGATGACAAGTATATCAGGAACATAAATTTCCTGGGGTCTATAAGATGAATTCAATCATGACTTGGAACGTGCTTGTATTGCTTATGAAACCGACAAATCCAACCTGGTGAAAAAAATTGTAACTGCTAACAAGTGTTCCACAACTTCCAAAATTGTTTGTCACGTTGTATTCGATTATGAGAAGACGTGATCGATTGGTCGGTGGTATAGTCATTGCGACCCATCTTCGATTATTTCAATGAATCGGGCCACCACACCATGTTCGCAGAATCAGTTGGAATGTCTAGACACATTGCGCTTTCATCAAGAATGAATCAGTAGAAATATCAACCTGACCACTGTGATTGATTTTAGCGCCAACGACTGTATTTTGTCCAAGCTTACCGAACTTGATAGTGTCAATATTATGTTTCTGTAGTTCCGTCACCGCCAAAAGAGTTCTGTGCCTCAGTCAACAGTTCGTCCAGTGTGACCCTGTTCTGGACCCACGCTGACCACCAGGACGGACCGACCACCTACTATATTACAGTTGGGGAAGCAGCCAACTTAACCTCAGACATCTTCCAAGAGAAAATGGTTGTCAGTGTCAGCGGTATGTCTTGGAGTTTTAATGAGGACGTATTGGGAAAAAACAAATTTACATCGTTTCTTCAATTACCATTACTACATTAACTAACATTTCTACATTGATAACAGGCGACTGCACTTGTAAATTTGTCGCTGATAACGGATTGAGTGAGTGAGTGGATGGGTGAGTTTTAGTTTTAGCAATATTCCAGCAATATCACTGCGAGGAACACGGTAAATTAGATTCACACGCTGCACCATGTGGGGAAACGAACCGGGAACTTAAGCGTGACGAGCGAACGCTTTAACCACTTTGCTACCTCACCGCCCCTGATACCGAAATGAAAGAGTAGAGTTAAGTGAAACAGGCATGGCACGTTCATGGAAAAGCTAAGCATAGGTGATGTGTAGTCGATAGCTGACGATAAGCATTTGCAGCAGGGCCAAGATACTGACAGATTAAGGTTTATTATCAATTACGCAAGCAAATCAACTACGAGGGTATCCCGGCAGCTGCACGTCTGTCCCGAGATTATCTTGATAATGTGGATTATCTTTAATGCTGTTATGTTGCTGTCCATTTACAAGTGGCACCGGATTCCAAATTGTGTTACCTATCGATTCCTGTAGCCATATATTTTGATCAGAGACGAGACATTGGTCCTCATGCCAGTATATTTTGACAAACAAGTTGTGTAAATATTCTTCATTTTCTTCCTTAACATTTCTAATGGAGCAGCGTGTAGCCATAATGTAAAGGTAGCATGCATCACAGTTAATACTTACTGCTATATATAATTCATGTTTCCATAATTTCGATGAAACTTCAACACATCTGACTTCGTTATCTTCAGGGTTCTATAGCACATCCGTTCTGGTTGAGAGTCTCCAGAGTTACTGGAATTACACCTTCAACATCACAGCAGCTACTCCAGTTGGAAACTCAAGTGTCTTGTCTGTGAATGAAACTGTCCGGACTAAAGAGTCAGGTATGAAGTAAACAGCGAACAAAGGTGTATTCCTTTTGTTCATTACCAATACTATTACCTATCAGCACCTAATAATAACATCTGACCTCAATTGGCCATCGCTATTTCAAATCAGTATGAATCAATTACTGCCTTCACTTATTAAGTGTCTAGTGAGTGAGTGAGTTTAGGATTACGCCGCACTCAGCATTATTGCAGGTTTTTGGCATCAGTATGTAAATAATCGATGTGTCAACCAAGTCAGCGAGCCTCTAACAACAAGCATGGGTCACTGAAGACCAATTCTAACCCTGATCTTCACGTTTATTTTGTGTCTAAGCTTATTACCTTATTAATGTCGTTGTCCTTATATGTACAGAGATGTCTATATCTTAGCATTATTAACCTGATGAAGGAATAACAATGTACTCCGAGTCAACGTGCATCTTATAACAGATGAGCTGGTGGGTTTCACTAAAATGATAAACATCTACGGCGCGTGCCCCTTCGGTAGGTCTATCCTTATCAAGCTAAAAGGTAACAACCATATCTTGCAGTTCCTAATATACACCGCTTGCTAGTATAGAAACCTATTTAAAATACTATTGGACACCACTTTTGTAATTTATAACCTTAAACGCACCGGTCCATCTTAAGTATATTTTCAGCACACACCGATGGTAATTCATTAACACTTAGCTTTGATATAATCGTACATTTGTAATAGTAAAATCGACACCGTTACTTTTTTATGTTACTAATAAAGAGTATGTTTCAATTATAGCTCCTGGAAAGGTTGAAAATCTTCGCATCGAGCCGATTCCAGGCAATTTTACGAGTGTGGAAGTCTTGTTCTCTTGTCCCAAGGAAACAGACAGACATGGCGACATAAAATATTACACACTGTCGTATGAAGCTGAGGTATATGTTATGGCTGCTCAGATATAATTCTTTTTCTAAAAATCAAGGTGCAAAGCAACATTTCATATTAACTTGATATGAAAGAGAATATGAATGATGTATACGTTCTTTCAGCTTGAGCATGTATGTTCATATAAATATAAACATCTTGGGAAAGATTTATGAATGAAATAGATATTCACTTCATATGTATTGTGAAATATATTTACTGTTTGTACGGTGACAGGTAGACAATTACAACAATGTGACAGAAAATCCCAAAGGATTGAACATTTCAGCTGAACCTGAGTCGAACTGTAACTACTCACAGGTTGTATCCGTGACACCACAAACAAACTACAATTTTTCGGTGAGTTACTCTTTAAAGGTCACATGCAACGTAAAACACAACTTTGCAGATTCTGATACCTTTCGGTATGGACTTACCGAAACAAATCGTCAAAAATGCAAATTCAACTTATAAAGTTGAAAAATAACGCGATGAAAAAAAACGCGCGAAATCGGAGTTCAAACGTTTCACTAATTTTCCCCAGACTTTTCTGGGGAAAACGGGTTTCAACAGCTGGGCTGCGCTCATAGCACGTGCGCAGTGAAATAGGTTCGCGCAACTTGGAAGCGGGTTGTCCGGTGAATACTCGGTGAAGGCTTTGGTGTGAGCTATTTTTCTAATGTTTTGTTGATATCTCACAGGCGCGAGCTTTTTATATGTTATGACAGTAAATTAACTGTTTATATAATTTCACAACACGTTCTTCTTACCGAGTCACTTTCTCAGTTCGATGCTTAAAAGCAATGTCATTATTTAGCGTTGACAGAATTTCTAACTGTGATATAGATATGTCGTTGTCACAGACAAAACTCAATGTCTTGTTTTATTGACATCTGTGTGTCTGCCTGCCTGTCTGCTAATGACAATATTCAATACACATCTGCTATCACTGACCACATGCAATTTGAACTTAACACCAATCGGGCTA